GCAGAGACCTGGGGGAGCTGTGGTCAGGCCTGGCGATCTTCACTGTGACAGGACTGAGGGCAGCCGGGGAATTGCGAGGGCTGAGGATGTTTTTCTTTCTGAAACCATCCCATTTGACAGGAGGAAGGATTCCCACTGACGAGACACCCGGCTGCTGCAGGGGGTAGTGGCGCTGGGGTGTGATGGTGAACCTGCTCGCTGCTCCCGGTGTCTCCCTGCAGGACAGAACAATTAGAGGCCAAGGCAAAATGAAGGGTCTGAAAGTCTGCTTTTCGTCTGTGTTTTTGTAATCCCACAAATGGCCATAATAGATTTTTCTGGGAAAACCCAAACATATAATACTCACTAATATTACAGAAAACGTGAACTTTTGTTCCTGTCTCTGATATTTCATGTCAGATACCATTTGTCAGTCTCTATAATGGTTGGGGCGATAGCGGAAATAAATCCCATTATCAGGTAAAAGTCTAATGCTTTCTAAATACATTACTACATTGCCAATACAGCAAACCTGCTAAATATGCTTTTCAGCTCTAAAGTAATTTATATGGCCAACAATTCAAGTTTTCTGCCATAACTGTTCACAGATTGGAAATGCCGGTACTATATTAGTAGTAAATTACTGTAATGAGAAACTCTTGCACATGACATAACCTGTACAGATATATACGCATGGGGTTGCAGTTACGTGTAGCACATTTGGATAGCTGTGTGGAGCTACAGAGATCGCTACAGAGATCGCTCTGAAGGTTAGTCATTAAAAACCGCCAAGCTGCACCTTTAACCTTTTGAATCTCAACAACTTAACCGCCTCCATTCAAAAAGACCGGGCTGTATTACGCCGGTAAAACCGTGATGTGATTGATTTGATTTTAGCCTGAACATACCCAGCAAATGAAAGCCTTCTGTTTGGAGTATAGACGGCGTGGTTGGGTCTGGCCAGCTTTTCCCGGAGCTGCTCTCGGGGATTTCTCACGGCTCTCCGCCTCCCCGAGTCGGCGGTTGGGCTCTCCGGTTTCCCGATGTAACTCCCCATGAGAAAATCCCGGGGGCTAAAAAGAAAAGACTCGCTTGATAAGGATTCCTTTCGATAAACTCCGCTTTCAGCGAGTCTTTGACTTAAGTGTCCCTCTGATTCCCGGAGCTCGGCTCTGTTGCTGCCGCTGCTCTTCGCTCTCCCCCGTGCGGGTACCGAGACGCCGGTCGCCTCCCAGCTCCACAGCCAGCGCCGCAGTACGGCCGGAACGTTTAGCCCACCCCGAGGATTCGGGCCTAACCTGGCGGGAAGCGGTTCTCCGCTATGATAATAACAGACAATACAACAAACTGCAAGAATTAAGGTCACATAAAGAAAAGTGGGAATATAATAAAAAGCGAGAGTAACTAGGCCTAGAGCAGAGAGAAGCAATAAATGTTTTTCTCTAGGAGACATGGCGGCAACGCGCCGCCGGAGGACTCTCATATCCCATCATGCTGTTCTTCCGACATTACTTCTTGGATTTATATTTGTATTCACGCGCATTAGCGCCATCTACCGATGTGGGGCTGTTAAACGCCGCCAGTGTTACTGCTCATTAAATTAATCTTCCTTTTGCTGAACCTTGGACGAATGTAATGTAAACTCTTGTGTAAAAAATATGTATGATTATTATTTTTATTTTTTGCATATTGGTCACACTTAAATGTTTCAGATCATCAATTCAATTTTAATATTAATTTAATTTAATTTATTTAGGACAGTGCATGTTAATGAACATAAATGTAAAACAATTACATGAATGTAAACATACCAGATTATAGCCAAGGGCTAATTTCCATATGTTGTCCATAAAACATAAAGACAAAGATAACTGGAGTAAACATAGCATGCAGTTTGTGAAGGGGATCCTGATAATAGTTTGGGAATGGTCAGGGATGAGTCTTTCCAGGGTCTGACGTGGGAAGTCAGTGCCACAGGTCTGTAATCCCGGGGGCCGCTGTGACGTCTTCCACACTGGGACCCTCTGCGGGCTCAGATTCACCATAAACAGTTAATGAAAGACTCCACAAAGCTGGGGGCACAGGCCTTGAGGACAAGGGGACTCCCCCTGTCTGGTCGAGCAGACTTGCCTGAGTGGAGTCTTCTCTGTTCTCTTTGAACCTGGTCACGAGCGAAAACGATAGGTGTGGGAGGGGTGTCAGGATTTTCTCAAGATTTTATGGTGCAATGTGGAGAGAGAAAGAGAGTGAGTGGCTTGGCTGTGGATTGCAGGCTAACTACAGGCAGGTCAGTAGGGGGGGTGAGCATTTACTGCAGTGCCAAATCTGTTGAAAACAAATTCAACTCATGGGATCTGCTCTCACTCAGGTGCTGAGTCTGTAACTGGGCTATGACAGAGTGCTAATGTCAAATGCAGCAGTGGGGTTAGCAGAGGGAGGAACATAAACAGCCACCAAGATTACATGGGTAAAGTCCCTGGGCAAATAATCCGGCCTGAGTCCAACAGCGCACAGTTCAAAAATCACCAAACAACGGTGGACCTTTAAATTTAGATTTGCCATGCTACTCTTCTATTCCCCTAGACAAGACCACAGAGAAGTGTTTTTAGCAGAATGTTAATGATATTATTTAAACATGTTTTTTTCTTGGAAGGAGTACTGTGGGGACTTCTGGGTGGAGAAAATGAGAGTGAGAGCAGGACATATGAAGCAATGTTGGTGAATCATTAGTAAAGAGGAACTGAGGGCAGCTATGAAAAGGATGAAAGTGGAAAGGCGGATGGTCCAGATGACAACCTGTAGAGGTATGGAGATGTCTAGTAGAGCGAGCAATGGACTTTTTGACCAGACTGTTTAACAGAGAATGCCTGGATGAGGTCAGATACCTGGGGTCAACCATCCAAACCAATGGAGAGGGGACAAGAAAGGTGAAAAAAAGAGTGCATGCAAGGTAGGAGGCCAGTGTTAGGGGTGATTTGTGACAGAAGGATAGCAGC